TCTTTATCGAAGGTTGGTTGGTAGTCTCATCTATCTCACTATCACACGTCCGGATATTTCGTTTGTAGTTCTACTGTAAGTAAGTTTATGGACGCCCCTCGTCATCTTCATATGGTGGCTATCCGTCGCATTATTCGCTATCTTATTGGAACTCCTCATCGTGGTCTCTTTTTCCCTCGAGGGTCGTCTCTTGAGCTCACAACTTACAATGATGCTGATTGGGCTGGTTGTCCTGATTCTCGTCGTTCTACTACTGGGTGGTGTATTTTTTTTTTTTTTGTTACGCTCTTATTTCTTGGAAATGTAAGAAACGGGACTATGTTTCTAAGTCCTCCATTGAGGATGAATACCGAGCTATGTCGGCTGCATGCTCTGAGGTTGTGTGGTTACGTGGTCTTCTTGCCGAACTTGGTTCTCTCAGTCACAACCTACGCCTCTTCATGGTGACAACACTAGTGCTATTCAAATTGCGGCCAATCCTGTGTATCATGAATGCACCAAATGTATCAAAGTGGACTGTCACTATATTCGGGACGCCTATGATTCCAAGGTCATCGCTCTTCCCCATGTTTCCACTTCTCAACAAGTCACAAATATCTTCACCAAATCTCTAACACACCACCGTCATAATTATCTCATCAGCAAATTGATGCTTGTGGACTCCCCAACATCAATTTGAGGGGGGGTATTAGGGTGTATTATTAGAAATTATTTACTTACTGCAATTTAGGTAGTTTCCTTGTACATAATAGTTAGTTTCCATGTATACTTTGTATCCTAAAATAACTTGTAACTTCTATAAAGAAAAACCAAGACACACGATAAATTCATTCAGCAAAAATATTGTCATTCTATACCCCTAAGAGTGTTTTGGTTGTATTGTTTTCACCCATATCCATGACCATGAACGCACCTAATTAGACCCTAAAGCTCGAAAATGTGTGTTCTTAAGCTATTCACCAATTCAAAAAGGTTATAAGTGTTATTCCCCGATCATTCGGAAGTATTATATATCTATAGATGTCACTTTTTTTAGTCTCTTCCATACTTTCCCCAAAATTCCCCTCAAGGGAGGAAAAAAGTATTGATGGAAATTTTTGGGAAACTACACAACACTTACCTCTGTCATCCATTGCCATTGAACCTACTGAGGAATCTCCTGTCTCCATATTCACGCCATCTCCTCCCATATCTGAACAATCTTCATCTACTACCTCTTCCCCACTACCTGATCCACAACATGTTGATACCCTTGTGACAGGAAAAGACAAACAACTTGCAAAAACACCCGAGCTACGTGTTTATTCAAGGAGAAAAAATCCTGAAATTGTGGAACATCTCACAGTTCAACAGCAGAACCATCAATCTGATCTGAACTCAAGTAATCTCTCTATCCCACAAAATGACTCTACTAATGACTTAGATGTACTTATTGTAGTCAAAAAGGGTGTCAAATTTTGTACACAACATCCTATCTCCAATTTCATTGGATACAGTCATCTATCTCGATCAATTCAAGCCCTGGCTACAAATCTGTCATTAATTAAGAATCCAAAGTCCATTCATGAGGCCCTATCAATTCCAGAATGGAGAAAAGCAGTTAAAGAAGAGATGGCAGCCTTGAATAAAAATAGAACATGGCAGATTGTAAAAAAACCTAAGGCAAAGTCAACGGTTGCGTACAAATGGGTGTTCTCAGTTAAATACAAGTCTGATGGTTCAGTGGAACGTTATAAAGCCATATTAGTAGCTAAGAGATATTCTCAAACTTATGGAGTGGACTACCAGGAAACATTTGCTCCAGTTGCAAAATTGAACACAGTGAAAGTTCTTTTAACACTAGCCGCAAATCTAGACTGGAAGCTCTAACAACTAGATGTGAAAAATGCTTTTCTGAATGGCGACTTAGAAGAAGTATATATGGAACTCCCTCCTAGATTTGATGAAGGTAAGATCCAAGGAAAGGTTTGTAAATTAGAAAAATCCTTATATGGGCTAAAACAATCTCCACGAGCTTGGTTTAGTAGGTTCATGAAAGCTATATACCAACAAGGATATAAATAAGCCCAATCTAATCACACTATGTTCTACAAGAACTCGGGCAGAAAAATCACCATACTAATTGTCTATGTGGATGATATAGTTCTAACAGGTGATAACTATGAAGAAATGGAGAGATTGAAGAAGGCTCTTATGACAGAGTTTGAGATAAAAGACTTAGGCCCCCTATGATACTTCCTTGGGTTGGAAGTTGCAAGAAGTAGAAATGGAATCTCTATTTCACAGAGAAAGTATATTTTAGAACTCTTAGGAGAAACGAGTATGTTAGGAAGTAAACCAGCTGATGTTCCTATAAATCCCAATCACAAACTGGGGGATTGTTCAGGAGGTACAGCGTCTAGTAGGTAAACTCATCTACTTGTCACACACTAGGCCTGATATTGCTTTTGCAGTAAGTGTTGTAAGCTAATTCATGCATGCTCCATTTAAAGAGCATATGGAAGCTGTTTATCAGATCTTGAGGTATCTAAAAGGGACATTTGGGCTTGGTCTTTTCTTTATAAAGAATTCTAAAAGGACGATTGAAGCCTTCACTGATACTTATTAAGCAGGGTCAGTATTGGACAGAAGATCTACAACGGGTTATTGTACATTTGTATGGGAAATCTAGTTACCTGGAGGCGTAAGAAGCAACTAGTTGTGGCCAGGAGTAATGCTGAAGTTGAATTTAGAGCTTTGGCCCATGGAATTTGTGAAATAATGTGGTTGAAGTTACTGTTAGAAGAACTTGGCGTTCAGGAAGAGTAACCGATGAAAGTACAGTAATAATAGGGCAACCATTGCAATGTCACATAATCCTATTCATCATGACCGAACTAAACATGTTGATGTTGACAAACATTTCATCGAAGAGAACGTAGAAAATGGGAAATAAGCATGGTGTATTTGCCTTCATCTGATCAAGTTGCAGACTTATTAACGAAGGGATTGTTTAAACCGATATTTGAGAAAATGTTGGACAAGCTAGGATTGTTTATTTTGTACTGTCCAGCTTGAGGGGGAGTGTTGAATATTCCAGAATATTGAAGTTGATTTGGTGGTTATTTGTGACCATATGACACGGGTTCTTTATGGTTATTATATATTGTATTTCCTTATTTGTAGACTTAACATATAGTAGACAAATTAGCCCTATAAAGGGGCACTGTACTTTTGGTTAAACGTGAATAACATAGCCTTTACCTCTAAGTGTTTGTAGCCTCTTCATTCTGTTATTCTTCCCAGCAATACATTCTATATAAAACAAGCCATCAAGAAGAATAAAAATGTCAAATTAGTTCGAATTGAGGGAGATCAAGAATGTGAAGATTCGAGATTCCATCTTAAAAGGTCAACCTTATTAAAAGGAGTAACACAATCTTTATAAGTTGGTTTATATTTTTCATCCCGCAAGATGATGACTCATTTGAGCAAGCTAATCTTAAAATCTGTAGGCTCATGTTCTTTTTAATCTTAATCGGATCGAATTGTTCATTGAAACTTAATGGGCTATGATACCATGGCAGAAATTTAAACACTACTCTTTTTCAATGAATTCTTTGTACACTTTTTCGTTAATGATTGCTAGAGGTTATATACAATGTTTACAATTCTATTTGAAGTAAACACACCAGTACTATGATTACACTCTACAATCTTTCTTCAGTTACATAATTGACAGCCATGAATCTTTCTTCAGTTACATAATCGGCAGCCAAGATTTTAGCCTAGAGATCATTTCATTTTGCTTGTACTTGTTTGTGCAGTCTTAATAAAGAATTCTCACTAATCAAACTTTATCACACGGTTAATGTTTATATCGAATTGATAAAGTTCCAAAAATAATGGGGAGGAGCCAGTTTTAAATAGGGGTGTCAATGAATTGGATTTTGATCTGAATTCGATGAAATTAATGCAAGATAGATTTAGGGTCTCAATCCGATAATTCAATTGAGATCTAAATCCGTTAACTAAATGAATCAAATATGAATATAGGTCAATTCGATCCGATAACAACCCGATCCAATTTATTATAATAATATATTATATTTTTTATATTATCGCAAAATTTATGACACTTCTTTTCATTTTGAAAATTATATTATACTTTACACGTAATTTTTAAATAATAAATAGTATAATATTTATAATTGAAAATTTTGAAGAGATTTAATTTTTTTTATTAATTAAAATAAGATAAAACTAATAATTAATTTATTGATTAGATTTGCTATAATAATTTGTTTTATGACATAAAAAACTAACAATGAATATGTCCAAAATAATTTACTTTGTTTAAATTGATATTGTTTATAATTAAAATCTTATTGAAACTATGATTTTTAATGAAAATAATAAAGTAAACTAGTAAACACTTAGAATTGACAAATGATTATGACTAGTATTCCACATTGAAAGATCATTAAATCATTGGAAAGAGGAGAATCATTTAAAAAACTAGTATCTGACATTGGAATATCACTAAAATATTTCAAGAGGACTCTCTTTTAAAAATGAGTTAAAAGGAGCATCACTTAGATAAAAAAAAAAAAAAAAAATTGATTTGGGTCTTCTAATATAATAAGTGAGCCCATCAAGATAGTTCAAATATTTTTTAAATAAATAATTAATTAAAATCTTGTTGAGGCTATGATTTTTAATGAAAAAAATAAATAAAATCTCTATTTTTCTAATATTTTCAATTTCGGATCAGGTTATCGGATCGAATATAACATAGCTAATCGGATTTGGATTTAACATTCAAATATCAGTCGAATTATCATATCGGATCGGATTGGATAATTATTCTTAACGGATCGGATCGAATCGGATTTGAGCAGATCCGATCCATTGACAACTCTAGTTTTAAACTACAATCCAGCAAAAACAGTATAAAAATCCAATTACTTCTGGTTAGTCAAACATAATAATTGAGACGACTATTTATGGAATCCACTTACTTCGCCAAACTAGTAAGGTAGAGGCATGCCCTCTTGTAATTCATATTATCCACGTGCTCCACTAACTTATCATAGTCTTCAGCCTGGACAGTGACAGGCAAACTTTACATGTGTAGTTTCATTATCCTAAAAGTACTTTCATATGATTCTTGAGTTTCATTAATCATCAATTGAAAATTGGAAGGACTGTAGAAAACATTAAAAAAAATACCTCCATTATAAGATCTATTGCCTCATGTTCAGCATTTTGCTGCAAATACATGAAAAATCATAATTTAAGAATTTTCAAGATAGACATATGCCTCATCAAGACTACAGTAAATAAGCAAAAGGGTCTTCACATATTAAAGAGAACCATACCTTCATATAGAAGACAACAATTTGCTCTACTAATTTCAGCAGGTCATTATCAATTAGGTCACCATTATTCTGAAATGAATTTGGCAGAATATATATATCTTAGCAAAAAGTCCTGACAATTCAACTATTTTACATGAGCACATTCATCAACTTTACCTTGTTACTTGTAAATTGTAATCTAATAGAAAAAGAAGAATAGACTGAATATGATGCATTTGTCCAACTGACTCTCTCTTGATAAGTATTTATAAATGTATAAAAGTAGCAACATATTCAAGGAATCCTTACCTGGTAATGTAGTGGAAACAGTAGTAAAAATGTGAAGTAAAAAATGTGAAATCCTGGATTGCCATATGCAAATTGTAAAAGGAACATTGAAGTGTTTTTGAAGTATGGGCAAGCACACAGTCAAGAAATCCACTAATGAAGATGTTAAATTAAGTGAAACTATGTTCATATCCATTACGATAGAAGCACTAACCACCAGTCTTTGACACTCTTGACCAATTTCCGCAGCCAATATCCTGACCAAAGTATCAACATTGAAAAAATAGCCTGGCATAAACTTCTGCTAAAACAGTCTCCAGTCCAAGTTGAACTAATATGAACCCTAAGCCATACAGAGCGCATGCAATGCAATGCTTGTTTAAGCATCATTCTGCAATCAAATAAATGCTAGTTATAGAGATCCTCACCTGATATACTCATGACCCCACAAAACAATATCACCTTCTGATCCTAGCAGTCTGTATTTTAAGCTCTCCTGCATATGAAAACATAACTAAATTCCGCGTTATCATTTAACAATCTATCTCCATATATAACAAATAACTCATAGCAGATATAGGCCCATCATAATGGGGAGATATCCACGTGGCTCCAAAAAGTTCTTTCACAATCATTAATACGGAAAATTGGATTCAGTTGAGCGTCATCTTCCAACTTCATTCACTTACATGATGTACATGAGATAAGGTTTTGCCTACAAAGATATCCTCAATTAAATGCTTTTTACAAATTAGAAGTGCCTTTTAATTTAGGATAGAATTGTATTTTCACTTTTAAGGACAGCAACAGGTTTAGACAGCAACAATTTCAAATTTTTGCTCTCGTAATTCATTAGGGCTTCTCACTATCCATAACAGTTCCATCCCACATATTAATTGACACAATCCTGCTTTTCATCAGAAAATGAAGAGAAGTAATTAGTCAATGTCTTAATATGATTGACCATTCATTTCAATGCAACCCCACTAATACTGGAACAACATTTGATAAAGAGAACTTCAATCTCTTTGTTTACAGTTCAAGCCACACTACCCTTATGTTACACACCAAAAATGTTTTAATGAGACATATTTCTTTATCCAGTTTCAACGCCATCTTTTATAGAAAAAAGTAGTTACCAACTTGTTTTGGACTTAATTCCACAAATAACAATACAAGGGCATCGTGACTCTCACTGTTTCTGTTCCTTTTAGTTTCATTTGTGTTTGCTATCTGTGCTTAAGTTTTAGTATGAACGAAATGTTTTTGTGATTATCTCTGAAATTCTAAGGAAAAAGAGGTAAATTATGATTTCAATCTTCTCCTACATGTGATATGTTTCATGTAATTACATGCCAAGCTTTAGTAAAATGCTTGGACAAAATGACCTCTAAAAACTGAACAAATTACGCATCCAATAAAATTATTATACATGTTCTCCTTCAGGGGACATTGTCAAGGCCAAAACAGAAAGTATATCTGCTAGGAGTTTCTGCACACAAAAAAAAAAAAAAATAGACATGCGTCAGAGAAGAGGAGACATATATGAGCAGAAACTTGACAACGTGGAACTTTACCTGTAAACTTGAATCTTCAATAACTCCATAATATGCTTGTAACACTCGATAATGAGGACGCAAGAACTTTAACACTCTTCGACTAGAAGTCAAAGAACTAGTCACGGTACGAGTTTCTTGCCTAAATAGTAGAAAAAAAATGTATAAAGATACAAAGTATACCACGTGCCAGTCAATTGAAGCTAAAATGTTCATTCAGGTTCATTCTACAACTGTGCCGTCTTGACAAGTTTGACTTTGCATTCTTCCTTTTTCATCAATAGAACAGCATTTATCACTAATAGGTACTAATCCACGCCAAGTAGAAGTTGCTCCTAGACTAACAATAATTTTCCTCTTTCAAAAGATAATTCAAATGGTGTACTATCCCTAATGGCTACATCACAATATATGTTGCTTGTTCGTGTTATTAAAAACATGATTTTCTGAGACAAAAATTGATCCCAGAGCCAGAGGAAGAACTGCAGTTATTTTAATCAGACTTAACATGGCTCACACAGTGCACCCAAATGCAATAGATTCTATATTTTGCCAGCATTCTTCATGATGCATAGCAGCATACGGCACAATGTTCTACATCATCTGCTCAATATTTCAATTTGTTATTCTAAACCAATATCCCAACCATCCTTCATAAAAAATATAGCTGAAGAAGTGTTGAGGCTGGAAGTTCTAGGTAAACAGCAACATGCGTACTTGAACTAAAACCACATAAACAGTGTAATGAAAACTATTACATTTGAGCCCCCATTACATTAAATTCTATTACATTTCATTTTTCTCTCTCCTATTTTCAACCACACAATCTTCCATAAAATAATATTACACGTAAATCGAAAACTTTTCATTCTTTTTCAACCACTCATTTTTCAAAAAAACACTACTCCGCCCATTAATTTTTCTATGTAATGGGGATCAAACAGGGGATTTTGCTAATAAAAAATCAAATGGAAATGTTATCTACAAAAGTGAACCACGATTATACATTAGCAATACGAACACCATAAGTGCACAGCACGACTTAGTTAATAGCCTCAATAATTTAGCAATAAAAACCAAAGCTAAGAAAATCATAGAAATTTCATTTCCAAGTTGAACTGAAACAAGCATCAAGATTGACTACCTCAACCTCTCTAGTGCATCTTTCTGCAATTTCGGATCGGAGTCCTGTACCATCTTCACATACAGCTCAAGTTGTTCCTTCAATGCCATGTCTTCTTCCGACTTAAACAGAAAATAGAAACCAAGAGAACACGCAATAAATCAATAAAAACGTCGCAATACAACATGAAAATACTGATTGATTAGAATCTTACAAGTTTCCAAGTCATTTTTCCTAATTTATACGTTTTCTACTTGAAATTTGGAACTTACGAGATATTCATCTTTCTTCTCTGGCTTGCGGTTTTTAGTTCCATCGCTCGAATCCTTCGGAGCCATTCCGAAAAACCGAGCCTCTGAATCTATCCGAAAAACGAAAAAAAAAAACAAAAAAAAAAACACTTGATTCGAAAGATATTTGCTGAAAAATCACAAATCCGAAATTCTATATTCAAAAACTGAGGCCGAAAGAGAAGAAGAGCGAAAAAGTAGATTTCGTTTCCCCAAACGAGCACTCTGGCTTTCCAGTATTTCCCTCCAAACGCTGTAACAGAATAAAAAGTTATTTCCAACTTAGTACTTATTCTTGTTATCATATTACAAAAACATCCATAAGATAACTTTCTAATTGCTCATGGACGCCCTCTATATTTTAAATGACGGAATACTCCCCTAAAGGTTTTTTTTTTTTTTTTTTTTTCCAGTCAAAAACATTTAATATATATTTGTAGAATAAGAATATTTTTAAAGGATATAAAAGTAATTTTCTTATTTTTAAGATTTTCTTCATACTTTTGTTTGGATATGAACATTGTTCTCCCTTACCAGTCAAAAACATTTAATATATATTTGTAGAATAAGAATATTTTTAAAGGATATAAAAGTAATTTTCTTATTTTTAAGATTTTCTTCATACTTTTGTTTGGATATGAACATTGTTCTCCCCTAATTTTTTATATCAATGTTTATACAAAATATTTTTTAAAAAATAATAATTTCTTTCTATAAAATGAAAAATCCATGTTGACTCGACCCCCCATATCCAACTTAATGAAACTTTATTTCACCTGAAGACTAGAAGGTGGAAGCACAATGACTTTGGTTTTTTTAAATTTAGCATCGGTCAATCAAATGGCACTTTGATTGTCATCCCTTCAAATGTGTGGAAACTTAGCCCATGTTTATTAATCATTATTTCAAAATTCCTGTTTCGCGCTGGTAGTCACTAACAATTAAAAAAAGATCCGACGATTGTGTAAGGAACAGACTTCTTGAGACAAAGTCCCAAAAAGAGGTGTTTTATTGACGATGATTTACAATTGGAAATAAACAGAATGCCTCCAAGGGGCGCAAGCACACGAGTACTAAAAGAAGTGTTTAAATTTATGTTAAGAAATTAAAATTACATATTCTCTATTTGAGAGTGTTTGATTCCTTCCTTTCTCTATCTCTTCTCTTCATTTTTATATTCCTTTTATGATTTCCTCGTGACAAACCGCTTGAAAACTGCTTGATTGCTTTATAACTACCTACTTTCTTTATGGTGGCTAACTTGTCGTGGAACTGCCGTCTCTAACTGCTGTCATTACTCTTTGTCGTTCAACCGCCTTCAATTGGGCTCTTTGAATCGTGAAATGTAATAAGATTACTCAATAACTGCTTCAATAACTGCTATTCTAGATAACCATAATATTTTATGTTTGTTAAGATCTTGGGCGATTCGAAGGTTTGGGCGAGAACGGGATCATTGCTCTAGGCGGACGTAAGGCACTCCATTCGCTCAGATTCTGGGCGTCTTGCAAGCTTGGACGATGATGTTACTGTATTCGTGGGCTTCCACTGCATTCATCAATAATCCTGTTTGTACCTTTATCCTGGACTCCCCAATTGGGCTTCACTCTTTGGGCTATTTGATTTGGTCTGCACTTTTAGTGTGTCAACAATTACCCCCCCAATATAGCAGAATTAATACCAATTATTAATCTTTGCCATATTCACTTTGTATTTTTTAGCAACATTTGAAATTCCCAAAAATTTCAATCATTATTTCCTTTCTATAGTCTGAAAAGGTGCAACGTTACAAACCCTTATAACCCCAAAAGACACATCATTTCATCGTACCACTAAACCACGTCTCTATATTTCGCGCTTCCTCCTCACTATTTTACTGTTCATCTTCTTACTTCTCTGCTACGTTTCTCAGGCAAATCTTAACAAAACTGTACTTTGCACCCAATGGCGACTCACAAACTCAATCTGATGATTCTTTTAGTTTCGAAGATTTCCAGAAAATCCTTACTAGGCCGTATGTAAATCAAAACTTCCTTGCACAAGCTAATGCTGACCTCAATGAATTCTATCTGGGTCCATCATTCAATAATGCCGAAGCCGTTGGACAAGTGACGGTGGGTCAGCTGTTCCCTTGCACTCAAGACCCTCCGTTCCTGAACTCTCTGCAATTGAGGCCGATTCGCGAAAAATGTATTCGCACTTGGCCCAAAGCTAGTGTTATTTTTTGTAGATGACAAACACGTCTTGTGAATCATGGCCCTACCAAGGCGATTTTTGATCGTGTTAGGATTTTAGACTTATTAGAAATCGCTCTTCAACCCCCAATTTTCGACCCAGTGCTTTTTTTGATTGCTTTGAGTTTTTGGTTTTCTGAATATAATACATTCGTTTTCCCTCTTGGTCCCATGTCTATTATTTTAAGGGACGTTGGAGCCCTAGTAAATCTTCCGCCTTTGATTGATACCATTTTTCCTGGTATCTTGATTTCCAGTGTTGGCTAGAAATTTGACAAGAAACTTACTGAGTCCTATTCAAGCATGTAAGGCTTTCATAATTATTCAAGCGTTGAACCTTCCCATACTGAGCATGTGGTCTTTCTTCAAATTTGGCTCTGTAAATATATTTTCTAATGTGCCAAGTATGAAATCTTCTATGAGCTACTTACACATTGCGCATGAATTGACGCATGGTAGGCCTCTGAACTTATGTTCCTTCTTTTTAGCTGCCCTTTATAGAGGCATGGCTTCCCTTCAATTTCAACTGAAAAATGGTGCATCTCCCACTGGCAGTAGGCCCCTTTGGTTCACTCAACTGTGGTTGAGAGCATACTTTCCACTACTTAGTGCTCCATCCATTTTCCTTCGTTCTGCTAGCTGCTATGGGCTAGCCATTAACCCATTGAACCCTATAAATATGTCTAGTAGGGACATTTTTTCATTCTTTTATACCTTAAATTCGATTTCCTGCTCACTTGACTCCAGATTATGTGCAACCTCCATCCACCCTGGACAGTGCGAGCACCTCTCTGCTTGTTTGGGTTCAGTTTTTGATTGGGAGGGAATTGTTCCATGATATTTTAACTGGAATCAATGCCAAGGCTGGGGTTGAAATATATGCTCCCCAATTTTTTGCTCGCCAACTTGGTTTTGGCCAAATTTGGCCTATTCCTCCTTGCTACTCCAAAAATTTGACAGATTGTTTTCACACTATTAATAAGGCAGAAGCACAAGCTGTAGATGCTCGCAACATTCTTTTGACGAGTAAATTTTCATTAGCCCCTTTCAATTCTAGCTGTGTCATCCATCCTCTTTTTGAACAGCTCTGGCCATCAGTAAAACGCAGATTGTATGCAACTGATGCTAATCGTGCCTTCCATTTACTGGATCAGCCAAACGCTTCCTCTACTTCTCCTATTTTAGTCACCCCTGTGTCCATTAGGAATCCTTCCTCCCCTGCTCGTGCTAAACATCCTATCCGTCCATCTGCTTCTCCACTTGCCAAGGCTACTGCAGCTAAAGGCGCCTTAAGCTGCAAACGGTCAGCTTCAGTATCTCCCATTTTGCGGGAGGATGATGATGATGATGATGATGCTCCGCTCATCCTTAGGAGAAAGGTAATTGAATTTGTTTTTTCACAAACATACTTTTCTATGTAATAATGATTTACCTGAATTTCTCAAAAAAGTTCAGCCTCTCCTTCAAAGGCTTTGGTTTTGGCAACTCCTGCTTTATCATCTTCTGCTGAAGCTACTTCGTCCAAATCAGCTAATGAAGGGACTATGCTTAAAGAGAAACCCTTAGTCCCGAAATCTTCATCACAACCAGTAGAAGGGACACCTTCTTCCCAAGGCGCCAACCTCCCAAATGTCGAACCAGAAGGTAATACATATTTTGATGTTTTACCTTTGCTTGTGCTACTGGTTTCTGATTCGTTGTTTCTTGAATTATGCAGAGGCTTCCATAGGCCTTTCCGTTGTGGCAGAGTCTTCTCGCCCAGATAAGGGGAAGTCCCCACAGGTGGTGGAGCCAACTGATGATATGCCTGAACTTCCCAAGATTGCTGATGAGGTAACCTTTTGCGTCACTTTCATTTTCGCTTCGTTTATTGTAGTGAAAGTCCTCAATGTTGGCATTTTTCTTTGCAGGGTGCTAATGACGTTGTGCGTTCCATCCAGGACTTGTTCACTTCTTGGGGACAAGTCAAGACGTCTCGCCCTACTTCAACCAGTCATCCTTCTGCTTCATCTTCTGCTTTTTTCGGAGGAAAATATAAAGTCTCTCAAGCAGTCGGTACTTGAGTATGTGTCTTTTATGGACATGGATATCGGCCAGGCTAGTGCTACTAAACATAAGGATAAGTTTGAGATATTGAGTGCGAAATTGGCGCAAGCACTTACACTTCCGTCGCTCAATATTTCTGCTGAATTTAAAGCGACATTGAAGGTTGTCCACTCTGACATCCTCTCCTTGCTAGCTAAAAATGTTGAACTGAAGGCTAGGAGTACTCAATATCTTCGTGCTACATCTAAAAAAGAGTCTTTGCTTCTAGAGATTAACAAAGCCGAGGATGAACTGAAAGAAATCTCTTCCGACGTTATGATCGAAGACTCTTTGATGATAAGCTTGGCTGCAAAGATGAAGGAGTTTCAAGCAAAGATGAACGACTGTAGGACGATAATGGCTGCTAAAAAGCGTAATGCTTCCCAAGGAATTGAACGAAACAAGTCTTTGGTTGAGCAGTATAAAAAGCTAGAGGTTGATGACGATTTTGTAACTGAATTAAATGTCGCTTCTTCTCAACAGAGTGAAGATTGGGGGAAGACTTAGGGAAAGAATACGTTCAGCTTGGGGTGAATTGTAATTAAGACATCCAATGCCTTAACTTTCCTTTTGTAATTTCGCACTAATTGCCATTGCTGATTTTGAATGTAACAGTAGCTATCGTCATTAATGAACGACTAGTTTGTCTACTTGCGTATTAATTGACGTTGTCCTTAATCATCAAACCCCCAAGCATTTAATTTCTTTATGCTAAGATTCATGTACATTCTTTCTTGGTATTCCCGTCTCTTTTCCCAAG